GATAAAGTCCTAGTTTTATTATTTTCCCTCTCTGTCCTCTCTGTCCAAAATGTGGAATTTACTGTTTTCAAAAGAGTGGCCTTTGTCTTTTAAATGCCGATGGACTGCTGAACCTAGTCCAGATGGGTTTGTTCTCCTAGGTTGCGTCATGAGTTTATGAAGTGGTTGTTTTGTTTCCTCAATGTACAAATCTGCACATGGCTCACTGCACTCTGTTGCATATAGCACGTTGCTCAGTTTGTGTCTGGGTGTTTTATCCTTGGGGGTGGACAAGCTTCTGCCTTAGTGTATTCGTGGGTTTGAAGTGTGCACGTATGTTCTGTTGGCTGGAGATCCTCCTGAGTTTTTTCTGATATTCCTGCAACGTGTGGAATGACAACGATGCTTTGTTTATAATAATAATAATAATAAAGTTGGAAGGGACCTTGGAGGTCATCTAGTCCAACCCCCTGCTCAGGCAGGAAACCCTATACCATTTCAGACAAATGGCTGTCCAGTCTCTTCTTAAAAACTTCCAGTGTTCCGCTTCTGGAGGCAGGTTGTTCCACTGGTTAATTGTTCTCACTGTCAGGAAGTTTCTCCTTAGTTCTAAGTTGCTTCTCTCCTTGGTTAGTTTCCATCCGTTGCTTCTTGTCCTGCCTTCAGGCGCTTTGGAGAATAGCTTGACTCCCTCTTCTTTGTGACAACCCCTGAGATATTGGAACACTGCTATCCTGTCCCCCCTCGTCCTTCTCTTCGTTAAACTAGACATACCCAATTCCAGCAACCGTTCCTTATATGCTTTAGCCTCCAGTCCCCTAATCATCTTTGTTGCTCTTTCTTCTCTGCACTCTTTCTAGAGTCTCAGCATCTTTTTTACAAAACTGGATGCAGTATTCCAAGTGTGGCCTTACTATTATGGAGGAGCTCCTGCTGGATCTTTTTTGGGATTTGATGAAGGCCCACTTGGGATAGCCACACATTCTGAGGGCTTCCTTGATGTGTTTTAGTTCTTTTTCTTTCCCATCTTTCCTGGTAGGCAGATCTTCAGCTCGGTGGCTAGTAGGGTTCTGATAGCTCCCCTTTTGTGCTCTAGTGGGTGGTGTGACTCAAAATGTAAATATTGATCTCTGTGTGTGTGGGGGTGTTTCTGTTCTGTGTCCTCATTTACTGGATGCCATCAGTTAGGCAGAAATTTACAAGGAGGAAATGAGAGTTCCTCTTTTGCTCCCCCTGCGGGAGGAAAGACCTAGTGGGCAAGACGCAAAGTCACCCCAGATGTTTCTCCTGCTGCTATCGACATGGCTGCTTTGAGGTCCTTCAGGAAAATCCCTGGTCCTCTTCAGCTGCTGCTGCTGCTCTTCCTCCCACAAGATCTGGGTGAGTGATGACAGTTGAGATCAGGCAGGCTCCATTCTCAGATTTACAACAGGAGTAAAATTCAGTGCAAGATGAATGTTAAGCCTGCTTCAAAGCTACTGTGCTATTCTGAACAGGGAGATGAGCCGATTTCCCAGCAAAGGCCAGTTCCAGATGTTAGATCTGGGGAGGAGAAGATTTCTTCCATTGCTTCCCATCCCAAGTGACTAGATGAACAAGTGAGGAAGATCATCAGAGATCGGAAGTTCTGGAGATCAACTGGGACCAGCTTTGATCTGGTCCTTGAAGTGTGGATTTCAGGACATTTGGACCACACATTCAACACCTCATAGAATCCTATGGCTGGAAGGGACCATGGAGATCTTCTAATCCCAGCCTCAACCCGAGGCAAAAGTCCTCATACCATCTCAAAAAAATGGTTGTCCAGTCTTTTCTTGAAAATCTACAGCAATGGAGCATCTATAAAATTCTGTTCCATTGATTAATCCCCTTCTATAATTATTCTCCAACAACTGAAACAAAAAGAAAGACTTTATAAAATAGAGAGTGAAGGTAGCATAACATCTGGAAACAAAGTAGGTGACAGCCAGAGAAAATCTGAGTGGGGCAAATGTGCCCGGAGGTGTGTGGTGGGACAAAGGACTGGACAGAAGCCCCCCCCATTTAGGCAATAAAGAAGGAGTTTCCAACCAGGGTGGGCAGGTGAGGGTCATCCCAGGATCAAACACAGATTTAAGCACCAGCACCCAAAACATCTGCCTTGAATATGCCAGGACCTATTATAGGTAATCCTCCACTTACAACAATTCATTTAGTGACCGTTCAAAGTTACAACGGCACTCAAACAAGTGACTTATGACTGTTTTTTTCCACAATCATTACGGCATCCCCACCATCGGGTGATCAAAATTCAGGCGTTGGCAACTGGCATGTACTTGTGACAGTTGCAGTGTCCCGGGCTGAGGCGATCCACTCCTGTGACCAAAGTCAATGGAGAAACCGGATTCACTTAACGACCGTGGTACTAATTTAAGAACTGCAGTGACTCCCTCAACAAATATGGTGAGAAATTGGGACAAAACTCTCTTCACAAATTTCTCGCTTAGCAGCATAAATCAGCAGGATTTTCTTGTCCTGTTCTCCTTAGCTGATCAATGTCTTATGTGGTGAGTTGGCCGTGCGATGGGTTGTTCATTTGGAGCTATACTTAAATTCTGAGCAGCTGATTGGTTCTCTTCTTTATTGGCACTTTGAATGGTCTGGTTTCTTACATATTCGTATGCTGAATCTAGGTCAACACGCTTCTTGATTGCTCCGTTGGTAGAATTCCAGGCCTCCATAAATTCATGTGTGTGGTGGGTGTTGGCATGCCCGACGATTTTTGTCCCTTCCCAATCGGATTGGTGTTCTTTAAATCAGGGCTTTTCAACGGGTGGTACGCGTACCACTTGTGGTACATTAATGAGTGGCAGGTGGTACGCAGCCCTACCTAGCCAAGTGTAGTGGGGGAGGGAAAGAGCCAGCACAGGCAAGGACTTGCAGTGAGAGAGTCCTCTGGAGCTACAAAGGCCCCAGGCTCACTTCTGGCAGCAATGGCTGGAGGTGAGGCACGGAGGAGGGAAGGAGATGGAGAGTGGAAGGATTCTTATGTGCTTTTGTGACTTAAGAACACAAAGCCCTCATTGCACAAATCCCAGTTCTGGGATTTGTGCAATGAGGGCTTTGTGTTCTTAAGTAGAGTTGCCAGGTGTCCACTATTTGAGCGGACAGTCCACTTTTTTCACATTATGTTCACTATTTTTTTTCACAAAATAGTGGACATTTTTTTTATTCAAAATAATATTTTACATATTATTATAATATATTTGATGTTTTGAATTTTAAGTAAAGTTTTGAAGTGATTATTTTAATATGTGTTAAAATGTTTGTAAGAAAATATATAATTTAATTGTAATTTTTTTCTTTACTTATTTTACTACTTAACACCCTCCCCCCCGCTTGTCCACTATTTTTTGGAAGCAGACCTGGCAACCCTATTCTTAAGAAGTGTTTGGCAATTTCTATTTGGCTGATGGCTGATGTCTCCTGTTAGCTTCTATTGCTCTGCTGTTGTTAGCTGTAAGTTTTGCTGCAAAGGATTTTAAAGTATTTTTCTCCTGAATGGATTTTGCCTGTAGCATTCCTTTACTTATGAATGGAGCCATTTGGGGAGGTTGCCTTAGCTGGCAGCCAGTACTTACATTTTTTTTCTTCCTTAAGTGCTGGCTGCACTCCTTACTTTCCTTTCTAGCCAGTAGCTAATTCTTAAAGGGGAATGTGCCTTTTTAAGCTAGTTCACTCAGCAGCTTGTCTTTTCTGTCTCTGGAGGCCTTTCCTTGTTTGATCAATATATGGAAGAGGGAAAATATGGGGGGAGGGGTTTCAAATTCTTCCTTCAGAAGGAGATGGGAATGAGAAAAAGGGAGGCAGGGAAGGGAGGAAGGAAAGGAAGTCCCGCCTTAGCACTTGGCCACCAGCAGCTCTGCCATTGACTTTGCTTGCAGAAGGGGGTCACATGACCCTGGAACACTGTGACCATTATAAATATGAATCAGTTGCCAAGCATCCAAATGTAAATCACATGACCCTGGGCATGCTGCAATGGTCATAAGTGTGAAAAATGGTCATAAGTCATTTCAGTGCAATTGCAACTTTGAACAGGGGTTTTTTTGGGGGGGTCATCAAGTTTTTGACACCTTGCTAGGTGGTACTCGAATACTGCCATATCCTAAAAGTGGTACAATTGGTAAAAAGGTTGAAAAGCCCTGGTTTAAATAAATCGATATCCTGAAGACGAGTCTCTCCGATCAAAAGCAGGCTTCTTCTTGCCTCTGAGGAATGTCAACTGATATCTCTCTCTCTGCTTTCTCCCTCATGATTAAGGGACTGGAGGCTAAAACATACAAGGAACGGTTGCTGGAATTGGGCATGTCTAGTTTAACGAAGAGAAGGACGAGGGGGGACATGATAGCAGTGTTCCAATATCTCAGGGGCTGCCCCAAAGAAGAGGGAGTCAAGCTATTCTCCAAGGCGCCTGAAGGCAGGACGAGAAGCAACGGATGGAAACTAATCAAGGAGAGAAGCAACCTAGAACTAAGGAGAAACTTCCTGACAGTGAGAACAATTAACCAGTGGAACAACCTGCCTCCAGAAGTGGTGAATGCTCCAACACTGGAAGTTTTTAAGAACAGACTGGACAGCCATTTGTCTGAAATGGTGTAGGGTTCCTGTCTGAGCAGGGGGTTGGACTCGATGACCTCCAAGGTCTCTTCCAACTTTATTATTATTATTATTATTATTATTATTATTATTATTATTATTATTATTATTATTATTATTATATATCTCTCTCTCTGCTTTCTCCCTCAGTCAAGCCATTCGAGCTTGTGCTTAGAGGTCCCACGGAAAGAATCACGGCGGGCTCTCCGGCCCCTTTCCAATGCACCGCCAATTACTTCTCCGCCAAAGAGATGAAAGTGGCTTGGATAAAGGATGGGAAAGAAATACAGGCTGCCCAGGAAAGCAACTGCCCTTTTGAAGTGAAGGGGGAACATTTTTGCTATGCGAAAAGCAACTTGACCATACCGCTTGGGCAAGGCGACATGAGGTCACAGCTGACCTGCCAGATCCAACACAACTCCTTGGAGGCTCCCTTCCAGCGGACATTTTCACTCAGTGATGTCCTAAGAGGTGGGTGAGCTCTGGGTTGCAGAGAGGGATAAGCGGTGAATGCTCCAACACTGGAAGTTTTTAAGAAGAGACTGGACAAGCCATTTGTCTGAAATGGTATAGGGTTTCCTGCCTGAGCAGGGGGTTGGACTAGATGATGGTTAGTTTCCATTTATTGCTTCTTGTCCTGCCTTCTGGTGCTTTGGAGAATAGCTTGACTCCCCTCTTCTTTGGGGCAGCCCCTGAGATATTGGAAGACTGCTATCCTGTCCCCCCTCGTCCTTCTCTTCGTTAAACTAGACATACCCAACAACAACAACAATAATAACAACAACAACAATAACAATAACGATGACGATGACGATGATGATGATGATGATGATAAAGTTGGGACCTTGGAGGTCATCTAGTCCAACCCCCTGCTCAGGCAGGAAACCCTATACCATTTCAGACAAATGGCTGTCCAGTTTCTTCTTAAAAACGTCCAGTGTTGGCGCATTCACTGCTTCTGGAGGCAGGTTGTTCCACTGGTTAATTGTTCTCACTGTCAGGAAGTTTCTCCTTAGTTCTAGGTTGCTTCTCTCTTTGGTTAGGTTCCACCCGTTGCTTCTCGTCCTGCCTTCAGGCGCCTTGGAGAATAGCTTGACTCCCTCTTCTTTGGGGCAGCCCCTGAGATACTGGAACCCTGCTATCATGTCCCCCCTCGTCCTTCTCTTCGTTAAACTAGACATACCCAATTCCAGCAACCGTTCCTTATGTGTTTTAGCCTCCAGTCCTCTGATCATTTTTGTTGCTCTTCTCTGCACTCTTTCTAGAGTCTCAGCATCTTTTTTACATCGTGGTGACCAAAACTGGATGCAGTATTCCAAGTGTGGCCTTACCAAGGCATTGTAAAGTGGTATTAAGACTTCACGTGATCTTGATTCTATCCCTCTTTCTTTGTTCAGTTCCTCCCAAAGTCCGTCTGGAGACCAGCCCACCTTCCCCCGTCCAGCTGAACGCCCCTGTGATGGTCACTTGTCACGCAGAAAGTTTTTATCCAGACGATGCAAAAGTGGAGTTGTTTCCCAAGGATGCCCCCAGCAGAAAAGGAACAGTTGCCCAGAGAATTTCGAATCCCGATGGGACTTTTTCCCTGAAGACCTACCTGGAGGTGACGGCCACCNATCACTGTTCTCTGCATCTCGTTGTTGCTGAGCAAAGTAGCCGTCCTTCTTTTCGTCTCTTGCTTCTTCGTAATAAAAATGAGCAGATGCAAGAAGCCGAGACCTTGTTCCAGAACATTCCCTGAAACGTGACAGCCTGGAACCTCAAGTTAGGGATTCCTGTTCCCAACAGATTTTCAGGATGAGAAAGGACCTGATTAGGGAATCAGTAATAATATTATTAAAATGCTTGTATAATGAGCGCGTCACCCTCCCAAATGTATAAAGTTATAAGCCTGTAAAATCAATACGGAGATTAAAAATAAATAAATAACCTTGCTTTGTTTTGCCGTGTCTGTGAGTCAAATGAAACTTCCTTAAAACATAAATGGTGATTCTTTATTTTAAAAAATAAAATAAGAAAGAAAGTTGAAGAAATTGTTCTTTTGACATGCATGGAAATAATTAAGAAAGAAGTAAAAAATAAAAAGCATTTGCTTACAGAAGTTATTAAGGAGCAAATATAAAAAAATCATATAATTCTGGGGTGCAGGTATGCTTTTGAAATATGGAGAAATGATATAAAATGTTAAATGTCCACATTAAAATATTTGTGTCTATGTTATTTGTACAGAGAACATTTACCAGGAATTACAGTATGTCGTTCTGTAATTTATATAATGGATATAAAGATATTACATGTTGTCACTTTCAGCTATTTTGCTGTACTTATTTAATTGAATTAACTGTCTATCGCATACTGTTTTCTGTGTCTTCAGTAAATGATCACAAATCACTAAAAAAAGAACTGAGCTCAGAGGCCCAATTGCCACCATTTCACTTTTTTTAACCAATTCTAGATTTTGTGCTCAAAGCGGGGAAAAAAATATGAAATTCTGACTTTGGAATTTGCTGGTTAGATAATTGTGTTGCTATAGAAAGGGCTGGTATATACCAAGTATGCAAAAGTAAAAAAAAAAGAAAAAGAATGAAGTTGTATATTTTCTGCTTTTATTCTAGTGCACTGAAATGAATTGGAAGTTTTTTTTTCTTACCCTGCAATTCTCTCTTCCTTTTCTCTCTCTCTTCTTTCTCTCTCTCTCTCTCTCCCACTTTCCTACTTTCTTTAGTTTTACTTGTATGTTATTCTTTGATAATTTCATTTAAAAGGATATATACATTTTGCTTCTGTTGCTTGAATCGCTTGAAGAGTTTTACTTGATTATTCCTCCAAAATACTGTAGCGGGGATAGGGTGAGCTGAGGAGACAGTATGGGGAGATGCCTGGGGGAGAAGTCAGGAGAGGGCAGGGAGGAGTGGAGTCTGTTGAGGCCTAGTTGGGGGGGATAAGCCTGAGAGAGGAAACAATAGGGAGGAATGGGAGAGGCTTCTGTGGGGCAAGCCTGAGGGAGAGAAGGGGATAGGAGAGGGGAGGCTTCTGTGGGGCAAGCCTGAGGGAGAGAAGGGGATAGGAGAGGGGAGGCTTCTGTGGGGCAAGCCTGAGGGAG